GGTTGGGGTATACAGTACTGTGCAGGGGCAGGCCTTTGGGATATGCAGTACTGTCCAGGGACAGGGGTTTGAGATATGCAGTACTGTTTAGGGGCAGGGGTTTGGGGTATACAGTACTGTGCAGGAGCATGGAGTTGTGTTATACTGTAATATGTAGGGGTTTGGGGTATACAATACTGTGTAGGGTGGGGGTTGGGATATTCTGTAATATGTAGTGGGAGTGGTTTGGGGTATACAGTACTGTGTCGGGGCAGGGGTTTGGAGTATACAGTACTGTGCAGGGCCAGGGATTTGGGGTATACAGTACTGCGTAGGGGCAGATGGGGCTATGGGAAACAGTAGAGGCACATGGGGCCACTTGATTTTACAAAAATGTTTTTCACAGACAAATAATAACCTGCAGATACAAAAAAAAGCCAAGATATTGCTGGAGAAATTCAGCAGATTTGGCAGAATTATCCATTTGCAAGACAGGCCACCAGACTCAAAACATTAACTCTGTTACTCTCTCCACAGATTCTGCCAGACCTGCTGAGGTTCTCTGGAACTTTCTGTGCTTGCTGTTTCAGATCTCCAGCATCTGCAGCCTTTGTTTTATCCTGCTGTTCTTGCATTGAGTTCTCCTTTTCATGAAGCTGATGTTTCTGTTCTCTTGACACTCCCAGCCACTTCAACCAGTTGTGCACATATACAGCCAGGTCTCACTGCTGTTCAATTGTCTGCAGTCTTGTATTCTTTGTTTTCCATTCGCTCGACATATTCTTCATGCCAAATTAATCCTTTCCCTACTTTGAACTTTATCTGTCACTTGTTTGCCAACACCTTTTCCTAGTCCTTGGCTTTTTGGAATTCCACACTATTGTCCTCACAGTTTACAATACTCCTTTCGATACACTCTTGATTTCCCAGCAACTCCGTTTTGTTTTTGAGATTCATTCATGGGATCTGGGTGTCTCTGGCTGGGTCCAGCACTTATTGCCCGTCCCTAGTTGCCCCTTGAGAAGGTGGGGGTGAGCTGCCTTCTTGAACCACTGCAGTCCATGTGCTGTGGGTTGACCCACAATGCCCCTTAGGGAGGGAATTCCAGGATTTTGACCCAGCGACAGTGAAGGAACGGCGATATATTTCCAAGTCAGGATGGTGAGTGGCTTGGAGGGGAACTTGCAGGGGGTGGTGTTCCCATGTATCTGCTGCCCTTGTCCTTCTAGATGGAAGTGAGTCGTGGGTTTGGAAGGTGCTGTCTGAGGATCTTTGGTGAATTTCTGCAGTGCATCTTGTAGATAGTACACACTGCTGCTACTGAGCATCGGTGGTGGAGGGAGTGGATGTTTGTGGATGTGGTGCCAATCAAGCGGCTGCTTTGTCCTGGATGGTGTCAAGCTTCTTGAGTGTTGTTGGGGCTGCACCCATCCAGGCAAGTGGGGAGTATTCCATCACACTCCTGAGTTGTGTCTTGTAGATAGTGGACAGGCTTTGGGGAGTCAGGAGGGGAGTTACTCGCTGCAGTATTCCTAGTTTCTGGCCTGCTCTGGTAGCCACTGCGTTTATGTGGTGAGTCCAGTTGAGTTTCTGGTCAATGATAACCCTCAGGATGTTGATAGTGGGGGATTCAGTGATGGGAACACTGTTAAATGTCAAGGGGCGGTGGTTAGATTGTCTCTTATTGGTGATGGTCATAGCCTGGCATTTGTGTGGCCTGAACGTCACTTGCCACTTGTCAGCCCAAGCCTGGATATTGTCCAGATCTTATTACATTTGAACATGGACTGCTTCAGTATCTGAGGAGTCACAAATGGAGCCGAACATTGTGCAATCATCGGTGAACATCCCCACTTCTGACCTTTTGACGGAGGGAAGGTCATTGATGAAGCAGCTGAAGATGGTTGGGCCTAGGACACTACCCTGAGGAAGTTCTGCAGATATATCCTGGAGCTGACATGATTGGCCTCCAACAACCACGACCATCTTCCTATGTGTCAAGTATGACTCCAACCACCGCAGAGTTTGCCTCCTGATACCCATTGATTCCAGTTTTGATAGGGCTCTGTGATGCCACACTCAGTTGAATGCAGCCTTGATGTCAAGGGCTGTCACTCTCACTTCAGTGGGGAGTGAGGGTAATAAATGGAACCTCTGGGCACAGGATGTCAAGCAGCAATTTTTAAAGAAAGTGAGACACTGAGCCACAGGTGATGGTGGGGTCTGCTGAAGGGAACTATACCTGCTTGAGTTGCTTCAGCCTTTGGAAGGGGAGAGGGGCTGTCGGATCATCTGGTAGCTTGAGCTCAGCCTCTCCCTGAAACCACAGCTCTACCTACAATCAGAAACCAATAAGCATTAGATCCGAGAGAAACCGACAGAACAGGATGTGGAGAAGGTGACAGAGACACAAAGAGGGACAGTCAGAGGGAGTGAGAGTAGTAGAGGGGCAGTAGAGTTGTCCAAGTACAATCCACCTGCACAGCAGGCTCCTGAATGGGGATCAGATTCTCAATTGTGAACGGAGTGGGTGAGGGGAGGGACTGATTACTACAAACACACCCCATGCACATGTGGAACAGAGAATGTATGAACACCTAGTCTTGCTTCTGTGTGCTGGTCCTGCGCGCTGGTCCTGTGTAAGTGTACCTCTGTAGATCTCTGTACTGGGCCTGTCTTGTGCAGCCATTATATGTCATTGACCAGTTTTACTGGCTTTTCATTTGGTCGGGTTTGTATAGATGTCCAGTCAGAAAAACGCCCTCCACAGCTACCCTCTGTCTTCTATGGCCAAGCTAATTTTTATCCAACTTACTAACTCACTGTAGATCCCATGTGACTTAATCTTGTGGATCAGCCTAGCATGAGGGACCTTGTCAAATGTTTCAGTAAAGTCCATGTAGACAACATCCACTGCCCCATCCTCATCAAGCAACTTCGTTACTCCCATAAATAATCACATTTGTGAGGCCCGCTCAAAGCCATGCTGACTATCCCTAATATGTGAGTTGTGAGATGTGATATGTGAGATGTGAGTAATCCCAATGTGAGTTAGTCCTGTCCCTAACAATCTTTTCCAATCACTTCCCTACCACTCATGTAAGGCTCACTGGCCTATAATTTCCTGGATTATCCCTGCGGCCCCTCTTAAACAAAGGAACAACATTGGCTACTCTCCAGTCTTTTGGGTCCTTGCCTGTGGCTAAAGAACTCTGTCAAGGACCTAGCAATCTCCTCCCTTGCCTTCCTCAATATTCTGGGATTGTTCCCATCAGGCCCTGGAGATTTATCTACCTTAATGTTTTTAAGACACCCAATACCTCCTCCTTCTTAATGTCAACATGTCTTAGAGTATCAATATAGCCCTTCCGTAGTCTTATCCTCATCCATGTCCTTCTCCTTGGTAAATACTGATGCAATGTATTCATTAAAGACCTCACCCATTTGCTCTAACTCCATGCATAAATTCCCACCTTTGACCTCAAGTGAACCTACTCTTTCCCTGGTTACCTTCTTGCTCTTAAGTATATGTATAAAATGCCTTGGGATTTTTCTTCATCCCACTTGCCAAGGACATTTCATGGCCCCTTTTAACTATCCTAATTCCTAGCTTAAGTTTTCTTCTGCTTCTTTTATTCTCCTCAAGGGCTTTGTTTGATTTCTTAGAAACTTAGTTTCGTAAGAACTCACAGATGCTTCCTTTTCCTTTTTGACTAATATTTCAATATCCCATGTCATCCAGGGTAGCCAAGTCTTGCCATTCTTAACCTTCATCCTCATCATGGTCTTGTGTTACAGCCCTATGTTGTGGCCTGTATTATGGATCTTTGTTTAATTGGTCTTGTGTTGCAAGCCTGTGTTCTGGGCCTGTGTTAGTGTGCTGTGTTCTGGGCCTTTGCTTCAGACTCAGTATTGATCCTGTGTTATTTGTGGAATGTGGGTGTCACTAGCTGGGCCAGCATTTCTTGCCCATCCCTAGTTGCCCCCCTTGAGAAGGTGGTGATGAGCTGCCTTCTTGAATCGCTGCAGTCCATGTGCTGTGGGTTGACCCACAATGCCCTGAGGGAGGAAATTCCAGGATTTTGACCCAGTGATAATGAAGGAACGGCGATATATTTCCAAGTCAGGATGGTGAGAGGCTTGGAGGGGAACTTGGAGATGGTGGTGTTCCCATGTATCTGCTGCCCTTGTCCTTCTAGATGGAAGTGGTCGTGAGTTTGGAAGGTGCTGTCTGAGGATCTTTGGTGAATTTCTGCAGTGCATCGTGTAGATAGTACACACTGCTGCTACTGAGCGTCGGTGGTGGAGGGAGTGGATCCTTGTGGATGTGGTGCCAATCAAGCGGCTGCTTTGTCCTGGATGGTATCAAGCTTCTTGAGTGTTGTTGGGGCTGCACTCATCCAAGCAAGTGGGGAGTATTCCATCACACTCCTGACTTGTGTCTTGTCGATGGTTTAGTGCTGTGTTACTGACTCTATTCCTACTAATGTTAATCTATTTCCCTCACCTGACCTGTGTTGCAGAATTGCAGTGTGGGTACATGTTGTGGACCTGGGCCAAAGTGTTATGTCAGGGTTACAATAGATGTCTGTGCTGTGGGTCTGAGTATATTGTACAGTCATGGTGTGGGATTGGGCTGTGTCTTCAGACTCTGTGAGCTGCGACTTTACCTGATCGTACTGCTCCTTTGTAACAAAGCCAGTCTCTGCAAAATCTACTGCCTGGAACCTTCTCTTAGTATCGAGCAGTTCAGCAAGTGACGGGTAAGGCCATGGCTGAGCAGCCGAGAGCAGGAATCGACGCCAGTCCAACAAATCCGATTCTGGAGTTAGCATCCTTGCTATATCCAACACCTTGGAGATGACACAGAAGGGAAAGGCTCATGTACAGGTATCAACAGTGGCAGTCAGATGTTAACATTAGCACAGAAACTGTTTGTAACACAGGGTGCTTGGGGGAGAGGGATTACTGAGTGACAGTGCGAAGGAGAGGGATTAACATCAGTAGGGATACAGACAGTAACACAGGGCGCTCGGGGGAGAGGGATTACTGAGTGACAGTGTGAAGGAGAGGGATTAACATCAGTAGGGATACAGACAGTAACACAGGGCGCTCAGGGGAGAGGGATTACTGAGTGACAGTGTGAAGGAGAGGGATTAACATCAGTAGGGATACAGACAGTAACACAGGGCGCTCGGGGGAGAGGGGTTACTGAGTGACAGTGTGAAGGAGAGGGATTAACATCAGTAGGGATACAGTCAGTAACACAGGGTGCTGGTGGGGAGAGGGGTTACTGAGGGACAGTGTGAGGGAGAGGGATTAACATCAGTAGGGATACAGACAGTAACACAGGGGGAAGAGGGGTTTGAATCCCACCATGGCAGATGGATGAATTTGACTTAAATTGAAAAGGAAAAATTTGGGATTCAAGTCTAATGATTACCATGACATCATTGATTGTTGGAAAAACCCATCTGATTCACTAATCTCCTTCAGGGAAGGAAACTGCCATCCTTACCTGGTCTGGTCTACATGTGACTCCAGACCCACAGCAATGTGGTTGACTCTTAAATGCCCTCTGGGCAATAAGAGGCGGGCAATAAATTGCTAAGTTAGCCAGTGATTTGCACATCTCTTGAATGAATAATTATAAGAGTTGATTTGTCAGGTGTGGGTTGCTAATGGAGACCTGCTGCTTTACACGTACACAGCCTTCAGTGTGGCATAGATTTCATGAGGAGTCATGTGATCCACAATATCGAAGGGTCAGTGAATGGTCACTGCTGGCCACCTTTCCAAACTGCTGTGCTTTTGTTTGGTTTGGTTTGATTGAGAGAAATGCAGTGTGTGGAATGTCAGTCAGTAGATGAGGAGGTGCATACCTGTGAGTAGGAAATGGAACTCCATTGGTCTGGCAATTGGTGTGTGCCTAGGTCCAGTGTCACTAGGTCCTGTAAAACCTCAATGAATGTGTTTTTCAGCATTAAACCTGCAGAGTAAACAAGTGAGAGACAGTTACTGTCCAAATGGGATTCAAGCATCAATCCGAGGGGACAGGAGGGGAGCTGTGCGTTGGAGGGGGAGGAGAGATGAGGGGTGTGAGCAGAGGGGGTGAG